GCGGTGTCGTAGCAGACGATCTTCTTGTCCAGGCCGACGCTGACGACCAGCAGGTCGCTGGTGGGCGAGAAGGCCAGGCCGGAGCCTGGGGCCTTGTGGGCGCCGTCGAACACGTGCAGCTCCTTCTGGGTGTTGGAGTCCCACAGCACCACCGTTCCGCTGTCAGACACGCTGCCCAGCAGGGAGCGCTTCACCGTGGACAACCTCAAGTCGTGGATGGGCTGGAGATCAACAGATTATCAAGCAGTAATACCAAACATTCCTCTGCTGTCTTTTAGTTACAGTCTTTACATACACAGACTGAACAGAGTGAAGCATAAAAACGGAGCCCCTCCTCCACTCTCCGGTTAACTCTGAGCCTGCAGAGTTCTTCTTTTATTAAAGACTTTATATAACGTGATGAGAGGTAAATAAACTGAAAGCACACCTCCACCTTTTGGCTGCTCCCTCACTACAGTCATATCACCAACTCACAGCTCACCTGAGCGGCTGCACATGAGCAGCTTCAAAGAAAATCTTTAAAAGAAAAACGATATGAAAGTGGAGGTCTGACCTGGTTGCTGCCGTGGCCGAACGGCCTGCTGGATAGGTTGGTGGTCAGACTATGGAGGACTAGGTCGCCGCTGGTGGAGCCGGAGGCGACGTAGCTGTCGTTGGAATTAAAGGACACGCAAGTCACCTCCTCCTTATGGTCCTGAGAGAAAAGGAGGCCATGTTTATCCCGCTCAGAGGTAAAGGAACCCGGAGGTGGCGTGAGGTCCTACCTTGAGGGAGCGGTGCAGTCTCTTGGTCTTCAGGTCCCAGATGTGCACGCAGTGATCGAGACCTCCGCTGACCAGAAACTGAGACGAGGAGCTGAGACACACCCGGGTCTGCTTTTTCTGAACACGGGTACAAACCAGCACCGTTACACTTCACAGAGGCCGAAGAGCTCTCAGTGAGATACTTACCAGACTGACTCGGCTTTCTAAAACTACACAGCGTAACTAAAATCTTTAGTTTCCCTCTTTTCCCTGAAACCTAAACTTCACTAAAACACCTGGGAGAACAGCTGGTATCATATTTCTAAAGCTCAGAGACAAACAATAACGTCTTAGGCTTTATTCTTCTTTTACCCCTCTGCAGTCTTTAAAGAGCTGAGACTCACCCCGTCGGCCAGCTCCACCACCGGCACAGGAGTCGACTTGAGGCTGGAAACGACCAGCTTGTCCCCACTGCTGCTGGCGCTGACCAGGTACTGGTCTGAGAGAACTGGTCAAGGCTGATTCACAGATCTAAAGGTGATTTATGCTGCTCACTCTGACAGGGCAGCTCTGCATGATTCATCGTTTAAAATAAGCTTTCTTTGTCTCATATTGTTCATGACCTGTCTGAAAGAAGCTGCTTTAGCTCCTCCCCCTTTAAGACATTTTATTGTGATTGGCTGCCCCTTGAAATTAAACCGCCAACTGAGATCATAAACTCATCAGGAAGTGCTTACTGAGCTCAGGGTGACCAAAGATGTGTATACAATCAGACAGAGGAGTCGCCCCCTGCTGGACATGACAAAGACAGCAGATTTCCATCTTTCATATCCAGGCTGTGGTGACTTAGTGACAGCAGGATACTGTTGGAGCTCCAGCAGGCCTGAGCGACAGGGTGGCTTGTGCTGTGTGGGTTAAACTGCTCCACTGGCGCCATGGAAACCGCATCCCAGATCTTCACGCAGTCTCCGGTCGACACCAGCCGTGTCACCTCCTCCATGGTAACAGCTGGAGAAAATAAACACATGCACAGAGAGTTGTATCGTCGCAGGCCGTCACTGTTAGTTTTACAGCTCATCATTGGTTTTGTCAAACTTGCACAAACAACATAATTGTAAAGTTTTCCATTAAACAATGATCAGAACTACATGACTATAGAAGGGAAAGGAAAAACCTGCGATATAAACACAGCAAGATGGATCGGATTTACATTTTACTTTTTGGCTTTTAGAAACCGACAAAGCCAAAAATGTGCATGTCTACTTTTCCCACTGAATTCAAAACTAGATTCTATTTAATTTATTTTCGATTGTGTTTATTTCCTTTACTGTTCAGCGCTCTGAAACCTGGTTTTAAAAAGTCTTATAGGAAGGTAGCGTTGAAAAGCTGGTGCAGTAACTCCAAGTATCAGGCAGTAAAAGTACACAGTGCTGAAGTATTTCTGTGAAACCTTCTATCGGATGTTCGTAGTTTTTTGGTCTCTGTTGTAGTTTTTCTACACAGTTAACTGCAGGCAGACGGACACGTAAAGCTGAGTCTGACGCCTGTGAGGACTTTTAACGGCTCGCAGGCTGTTTTTGGTCCATCAAACAGAAATTTTATCGACTTTGCTCCGTTAACTTGAACCTGCAGCTACAGGTAGCTCATGCTAACCGACTAACAGCTTGACGGCTTTAAAGTTAACAAATAGTCGCGAGGCGAGCGGAAACTGCCGGGAATGTTTTCGCCTGACCCTCAGAGTCCTTAAGATTAACTATACTTACCCAGAAAGAGTTTTTTTATCACCGAAAAGTCGAAACTGAGTTTGTTTTGGAGGCGCCCGCAGCCAATGAACCGCCACTACGGAACACCAGGAGGGACAAACGGTGGAAACGGGCTTGTACTTCCTGTGTTTGTGTTAAAGTCTAATCGAAATGTACTAAATATACAGTATCAAGGCAACAATTAAAGAAAAACACAGAATAAAATATTTAATTTTTGTTATATTTTATATGAAGAAAATAGGAATATAAAAACGTGGCTTTATGAAGAAAAATAAAACAAAAACAAGTTTAGTAAATATTAGATGGGATTTCCGGCTCTTTTAGAGAACCGACTCTTCCGGCTTGACTCACTAAAAAGAGCCGGCTCTTTCGGCTCCCAACCGGATCTTCAGGTTGTTTTGTTGCTTTAATTAATTTATTATTAACAACAATATGAATATATGCACAAAAGGAATTACTAATGTAAAAAAATGTTGTTTTATTTATATATGTTTATATATAAATATATATAAACGCAAAAACTCCAAAACACGTAAAAACTCCATAGCACATACAAACCCGGAAGCATGTACAAACTCCAAAACACGTACAAAACACAACACAAGTGCTCCAGGATGCTAGTGGCAGTGTTGAGCTTTTGTTACTTAGTGGCTACACAAGCCAGCAAGTACCAACGACCTGATTTGGTGTGTGGTAGTAACAGGTAAATGTACTTTTTTTTAATTTATATGAATATATATGAGTGCTTGTGTATAAATACACAAACAACACACATATGCTTTCAATTGTGTAATTTAAGTGATCTAGGTAGCTCTGTTTTGGAAGTTCAGTTAACGCTAGAAATGTGTTTTGGAGTTTATACGTGTTGTGTCTGTAGGGGCCACCGTAAATATATTTTTATTTATTCACTCCACATAAAATGTAATAAATAAATCATATAATACAAAAACCAACTATTTACATTTTAAACTTTTAACTATTTAAATTTTCAGCTTTTTCCTTTTAAACAAATTTAAAGTGGAACAACAAAAAACACTGCAAACCACAACACAATTAAACATAAATTAAAATATGAAAACAAAAAGAAGATGCACATTCTCTGTCATATGGACCTGCATGAATAAACTTTCTCAATCCTTTATCATCTGCAACTGAAAATAGTTGTGGATGATTACTATACCTTTCTAATGTTGTTGTCCCTGCCTCTCTTTCTCTCTCCCTCCCTCCCGCTCTGTTCCTGTGCTACTGCGAGTGTAACTACCACCCCTCCCCTCAGCGCAAGCACAAGGCTCGTGTGCGGAGTGAAGCGGGAAAAAGTGCGAGAGAGAGGGTGAGATAATGAAAAAAAAACCCACGGCTCACGTCGTTCACTTCAAAGACCCGGCTCTAAGAGCCGTTTCGTTTGCCAACGACACATCACTAGTAAATATAAGTTTCTACCGCATAATTATAGTATTAGTATGAAATTCTTAAAGCGTTTTGGAATTATCTTAATTACTGATACCCTTATAGTTTATTGTATTTTTATTGTATATATTGTATAATTTATTGTTTAAAAAAGGCCAATAAAAAAATCGCTCAAATAAAATTCAATATGATCAAACCATAGAAAATGTAAAAAAAAAATACACAAAAAGGAGCTTGACTTTTTTTTTTTAAAAGATATATAGAAATTTTAAATTGAATTTTAAAAAAAGCAGAAAAAACTGAAAAATCTGAATGGAATACAGTAAAAATGAAGATAAAATATTAGTAAAAAATTATATACTAAAATTATTCAAGTAAAACAAACGACAAATGTAATTTGATAAACTGGCTTCATATGCAAAATATTTCAAATTCAGCAAAGAAAAAACAATAGTGTATTCAAGACGTTTCGGCAGTATTATACCCCATAATTGTATTACTATCATGAAATCTTTAACGTATTTCATTGTAATTTATTTACTAAAATCATTATAATTTATTGTGTAAACACAACCTATAAAAAACATTCATTTATATAAAAAATACAATATGACCAAAAAACAACTAATTGAAGTGAAAAATAAATAAATACAGCAGAACAAAAACTAAACATACTATAGTGTGTTTCAGAAATTTCGACAGTATTTTTTATTGCAGTATTTACTACTCGTCTTAACAATGTTGATGTCAAAGTTTCCGCCACTAAAAAAAATTGCCATTCATAAAATTTCAGGTTCAAGTTTTCACTTCATTCAAAATGTCAAGTTGTTAACGCTAGTTCCTCAGAAGTCTGAGTTAGTAAGGTGCAATTTGAAGATACATAATTTGAAGTTTTGTGATAATAGCCTGATAACTCAAACTTCTGATTACCAAGAAAATGTTCTGTTTCGTTATTTTTCTGCCAGTGGCTTAAACAATCATCCATACAGTGGAAGAATAAAATGGTGGGAGCTGCAGTTACACACATTCACCTATGAGGGGCAAACTTGTGTTCCAGCTATTCGTGGAGTCTACCACTATAGAAGCAAGAGAAGAAGAAGTCTCCCGCCCCATCCGCCTGTTGGTTTTAAACCGAGGCGGGACGGTGCTCGGTTCACTGCGGTCCGCGGATTTCAGGTAGGAGTGTCGGCTTACTGTAAAACCCGCTGCCAACATGGTGAGGACAAAAGCCGATAGTGTGCCCGGATCATACAGAAAAGGTACGGCAACAAGTTAAAGGCATTCAATCAGAATTTAGGTCTTTAAAGCTTGTTTGTACAAGAACACGTCTGTTTTGTAAGGTAGTCTGGCTGGCAGGCGGCGCTGAGCCAAAGCTGGTAAAATCATACAAATGTAGTCTCGAAGAAGAGTAGTTAACGTATTATATTTATTTTTTACACTAAAATAATTGAAAGAAGACTGTCAGATGAAGTTTGTGTGTAAATCCACCGCACGGCTTCCTAAAATCCGCCTCCCGCCAACACGGAGGCTGGTCTGCTGCCCTCTCGGGTTCTCCGGGAGAGGCGAAGATATTTAAATTAAAACATTTAATTGTCTTTTTATCATCGGAGTCAAAGGTTCTAGCTTAATGTTCTCATTCATCTCACGAGGTGTCATCTTTAATGACCCTTTCCCAAAGTTTGTACGACGTTTACTGCAAACTGGCGCCAGTTTTGAGCGCCGCGGTGCGTCTTTGTGCGCACGCCTCACAAAAGTCCATTCGCATATTAAATAATTAAGGCGTCTCTCTTTACCATAGATGCCACGCGTGTTACCGTCCATAATGCATGCATGTTTATTAAGTTCTGGGACCTTCTGGTGAATTTGGCTTACATTTCTTCCAACACCCAACGGATAAGAATTAAAATTTAGACCTGCTCTGCTTCCTTAAAGACCCAGTTTAAATAGCAGTGAACTGCTCTCATTCACTCTGCAGCTATTTTAGGTTTTTAACAAGCTTTCTTTGAACTTTGATTTAACATTCTGCAAATGAGACTTTACTCTCTTTACGTTCATTTGGCTCAGCTTTGGTCCTCGGTGAACTTCTACTGGTTTCTTACTGGATCCTTCATAATCAGCTGGTTTCATGCATTTCATTTGCAGCTGTTGCAGCTTCTGCCCCCCGGAAGTCTCTGGGTGCCAGTTCATCCAACGCTGCCTCCAGCAGCCAGTCCCCCACACCTGGTCAGTCCTAGTTTCAACACACACACACACACACACACACACACACACACACACACACTTCACGTACTGAGGCTGCTGTAATTGTTGTAACTTGCAGCAAAGAACAAATACACTGGTGGGAACCCCGTGTGTCCTCGTCCCACCCCGACCTGGCAGAAGGGCATCGGGGACTTTTTTGGCGGCCCCCCCAGGAAGATGGAGAAGGAGAACAGGCGACCCCAGGAGGTGGAGGATGATGAAGAGGCCGGAGGCAGCGGGATGTCAAAAGCCAACAGGAAGTATGTGTTGTGCTTTATTTGAAAGCTCTTCAGGGAACTTGTGTCCCAAACTCCTTTTAAAACACACACAAAATGAGAGCTGAAGCTCAGCCGAGGTTTGCTGCTGTGTGATGAGCCGTTAGTTTCACCTCAGATTATTTCAGTGTGGAGCTGTACCTGCTGCTGTGATACGTGGGCCAGGCTAGTTTGATCCGCTAAAACACCAGCTGCGTGCTGCGTGAGATGCAACATTTGGATGAATGCTGTATGAAACGGAGGCCGGTGTCAACGGGAGCTGATGCTTTCCCGTACCCAAAGAGCGTGATCCTGAGTTTGGATCGGCATGAAGCTTTATATGGTCACTTATGGATCAGGAACCTCTCTGTTCAGTCACCCATCAGAGGCCGGTTTCTGAGGGTTCACCGGAAACCTTCAGCAGAGCCTGCAGCTATCAAATGTAAAAACGCAGAGATGGAGTGCTTTTATTTTGAAAAATGAAAGCATTTTAACTCTGCAGGTTTTGTTTTAAAAATTATATTCCCTCATGGTCATTGAATTAAAGCAAACAGCATCAAGTGGTACCAGGAAACTCAATGTCCAGTTTATTAGGAACACTGTAGCCATGCTTCTCAGCTGATTTTTGTCCCAAAAACACCTCAAATACAGCAGCTGACGATAATCTGATTATTTCTTTTTCTCAAATCGTTGCTTTTATAGCTTCAGACTCACCTGTCTGGACTGATCTGCAGCTCCTTGTAGGTCTTGAAAGTCATTAAAAGTTAAAAACTGATATTAAATAGTTTTAAATCGATCAAAAGTGAGAAAGCTGTTTGGTTCAAACATGGGTGAGTAACTGATTGCTGCATGGATGATGCTAAAATCTGAGGAGAGGCCTCAAACTCGCCGCTGACGCCGCTCGACTGAATGACAGATTTTACTTATTCAGGACGTGGCGTTTGTGTTCCAGCGCCCTGTGGGAAGTTTGACGCTGATGTTGATCAGTTTGGTTTTTGTCCGCAGAGCCCGGCCGCTGCCCGCTGAGGATGAGGACGACGACTGAAGCCTGGATCAGTCCGACTGCTGATGTACATCTGTATATAAATTCTGCTCAATTCACGTTGTATAGTTCAATGTTTTTTACCTACAGAATGTCTGTTTGAGATCATCTGGATTTTGTCTTTTTTACTAATAAAACTTGACTGAAAACAAACTGAAGAACAAACATGGCCGTCTTTGGATGAGGACACGGACTCAAACAATCCAAAACTGAGCTTTTATTTATTCTGCCAAGATACAGATCAATGCTCCTGATTAATCAGTTTGATTTATAAAATCAGATTCCTACAAAACCAGAACACAAACTTTGAACACAGCTCTTCTTTGTCTCCTCTTCATCACTGTTCATGATTGAAGCCGAGGAACGATGAGCGTTCTCAGGTTAACGGTGCAAGGACTGTGAGTCCGTCCATGTCCAGCTCCACAGAGTGGACGCTGAAGTCTCCCAGACCCTGAAACACACCAGAAACCATCAACACAGGACAGATGGTCAGGAATTACTCTGCTCTGCCAGAGCAGCTTAGCATGATCCACAGTTCAGAATAATCCCCCTGTATCACACGCCAGCCCCATAGAAAACAAGACAATTTAGCTCCTCCCACCTTAGGCTTTGTTTTCTTTTTTTTTTTAAGCTTGCTTCTTGTGATTAGACGCCTCTCTGTGACATCATCCAGAGTCAAGAGTAGAAAATAAACTGTCTAGATCAGTCCACACTGAGCTCATTATAAACTTTGTTTTACAGGAGCAGCTCTGACACGTTTTGAACTAAAGATTTTAAACCTGAGTTAAGCTTTAAAACTAATGACAGGGTTTATTTGAGGCCCCAGTAGGTTGTGAAGTCATCTTTCCTGACTAAAGGTCAAAGGTCAACTGCTGTTGTAAAAGCTTTGCTGAACAAACTACCGTCTCCTGTAAAGAGAACCTGTGAATGTGTGGGTTTATTAAAGCTGAACGACATCAAACGGAGACACGTTGGACTCGCTGCTCCGCCCTGTGGTTCAAAGTGGTATTACATGAACGTACAGCACCGACTCAGGTCTTGTATTTATGTTTGTTCTATTCATAGAATAGAATAAATTTGACCTCTGACCCTGACCAATTCTTACCGGCATGTTGTTGAGGACCTGCAGCACCGCCTCCCGCTGTCGGGGCTCTCGAGTCAGCAAGTAAAGGAAGCCGCCGCCACCGGCCCCGGCCAGACTCTGGCCCAGGACCAGCGGCCTCAGGGCCTCCATCATAGCGCGCACTGACGCTGGCTCGCAGCCCGGGGCCATCAGCTTCTTCTGCTGCCATGAGCGGTCCAGACACTCCCCCAGCCTGGACAGAGAACCTGTAGAGGAAGTGGTCATTTAGCCTTTCTGAAACACACTGACGTTGGGCACACTGCATTCTGGGAAATGTAGGAAATGTCCCACTGAAGCGTCTCACCGTCCACGCAGGCCCGAGCGCACTCCTCTGAATTACACACCAGCTGCTGGGCGTTCTGCACCATCGACGGCAGGCGGCTGTACCAGCTGCGGACCACATCCTGCATGCAGGACACACATCATCATCACCAGCTTCATCTCAGCAGCTTTATTCCAACCCTGATGGCTCTGTTACTCGGAGTCTTGTCACATTCGCTCTGCTTGCTTTTACCTTGACGAGTTTCACTTTTCTCCTCTTTGACTTCATGAATCGACTTTTGTTTTTAACTTTTTAACATGAAAGAGGAGCTGAGAGTGGAGCAGACAGGAAAGAAAGGAGAGGCCACTCCAACAGCTCCACCTCCACCCTCGCCTGCAGCTCCATCCCCCTCAGGAGAGAGATGTGCAGACTCCGGCCAGGCCAAGCTGCTGCCCCTGATGGCTCCGCCTTCAGAGATTCTGGAGACAGGAAACCTCAACCAGCCATCTGAAGCTGCTGCAGTTTGTCTACCAGCCCTGTATCAGTGTGGAGGATGCCACCACCACCATCATCATCGTCATTATTGTGATGTCTGATCAGTCCTGGGAACGTGCAGCCAGACAACCCGACAGGTGGACCGCAGTCTGAGCAGCACAGGTGATTTCCAGCCTCCAGGTACATGCAGCAGGATGATTACAGGAGGGTGGAGGACAGATGTGAGCTTAACCATCCTAAGGCTGGACTTCAGGAAGCAGGCTCCTTCCCCCTCTCTCCCCCGTCAGTGGGTGAGGAGGGGGAGGAGTGCTCCTAACCTGTCTTTAAAACTCCTGAGGAGCCGCACGTCGTGGTGCTGCCAGTGTTTTTTAAGCAGCAGAATTAAGGAGCGTGCTCGTACACAGAGAGCGTCTCATTGGTTGATCCTGAAAGTACCCACCTGCAGCAGATTTCGGGCCAGCCGGGTCTTCCCGGTGTAGACCAGCAGGAGGTGCTGCTCCAGAGCAAGTGAGAACTCCTCAGGAAGACTGAGACGCTCCACCTGCACCTGCAGGGGGAGGGATGCTCTGGATCGACCCACCTTTACTCCGCCTACCAGACCGCCCACCTGATCCTGCCAGCCTCCACCTGCAGGAGGAGGAGGAGGAAGATGAGAAGGAGCAGGAGAAGGTGTTTAGTGATGAAGGGCGTGACAAACCTGTGGTAAGAATCTGCTCCAGGTACAAAACGGCGTGGATCAGGGAGTCCGTGTCATAGGTTCGCCTGGTACACCTGTACACCGCGGCCAACAGCGCCCCCGCCAGGATGCTGCTGGTACCTGCAGAAAGAGGACCAATCAAAGTGCTGAACTCCTCCATCACCTACAAGCTCTGTTTCCTGTTTCTCACCCAATCCCGATCCCGTCGGCAGCTCCGACCAGCTGTGGAGCTCCACCCCTCCTCCCCACCGCTCCATCAGCTGATGCCCCAGAGGATGCTGGGAGGTCAGGGACACCAGCCCACTACAGACACACACCGCCTTCAGCAGCGCTCCTGTAACACACAGACACACACAGTCAGCTTCCCACTTCCTTCCTGTTGTCCCAGTTTAGCCGGTAAACGATGTACCGGGAGCGTGAGGCTGACTGTAATCCTTCAGGTCATCCAGGCTGTCGCACGCCGTCTCCGTGGAAATCCCACTGCTCCGCCCTCCAGTGTAGCTGACCAGCAGGAGGCGGGGCTCGGAGATGCGACGTGCTCTAGCACCAATAGGACGCTTCCCGTCGACCTTCACTGCAACGTTTGTGACGGAGCCCCCGTGCTCGAATGCGATTGGTGGAGTGTCACTCCAGCCGCCTGAAACACAGATACAGGGTCAGCGTCTAAAGGACCAACTGCCCCTGAATGCACCATGAACCTTTATCCAATAACCTGCTAAATCCAGCCTAGCTGGACACTCCACTTCCTGCCACTGTCCAAGGGGCTGGACTTTGCCCTGTCCAATGGAGATGAATCTCTGAGATGACATCACAGCCTTCCGTAACAGCACCTGTCCGGCGCCTTCATAGTGCCGCGCCGCCCGCACCAGCAGATCAGGCCTGTAGGAGGCAGCAACACCCAAAGCGTTTACCATCGTTATATCAGCCAGACCATGTGACACAAACAGTGCAGCGCCCACCTGCTGAGCCAGTGCTGCCGCTGCACGGTGAGTGCGTGGACTCCGCCCCTCAGGTCACCCTCCTCCAACATGGCGTAGGCGGAGCTCCAGGCTTCATTAGCCGCTGGCCCGCTCCTCAGACCTCCCCGCCCGCTGGCCATGCACACCAACACGTCCGCGATGCAGGAGAGACAGCGGGCAGCCACGCCCAGATCTGCTCCGAGCTCCACCCCCTGCTCATTGCTCCCTGCAGCGACTGAAAACAAACTAGAATTACCAAAGGAACCTCAGCAAGTTCGCTGAAACTGGCCAATCAGAAAACTTATTTGATACACAGAAGGAGGAGCTAAAACTGGCTGTTTCTATGGGCCCATCATAGAGGAGTGGACACTCACTGCTGTCCAGAGCTTCCAGCAGCGCCCCCTGCTGGCCTCCCAGCACAGCGGCCCTGAAGCAAGGCAGCAGGCAGACGTCCGAGCGCCCCCTCAGGGCGTCGGCCACACGCCGCCTTCCCACCAGGAACAGCAGCTCCTCCCTTCGCTGTAGCTCCGTCTCCTGGTGGGTGAGCAACAGCACCTCCTTCAAAGAAAGCCTCCACGCCTCCCTCCACCCTCCCAGGCAGCCGCCCCCCCCCAGCAGCCAGGCCACGCCTCCCTCTAGACCCACAGCACCTCCTCTGGGGTGGAGGACTGGGAAGAGGCGAGCTTCCAGGAGGGAGCGCCGTTCTCCTCGAACCCACAGCTCCTCCGACCTGAGGACACGCACAGAGACACAACCACACACGTGACATTTGTGGAGGTCAGGAGGTCAACGATGTCATTAATATGACTAACATACTGACATAAAAACAAAAGTTTTCCATCCAGAAGTCTCAGCTCAAAGTACATCAAACAGATGGAAGTTTAACTGTTTCTGAACTAAAACCTGAAGCTGTGCAGCCGAGGACACGACGTGAGTGTTGGGAGGAGGAGGAGGGAAAGATGAAGCACATCTGGTCAGGTGGGAATTCTTTTACCTCCACAGTTGTAGTTCTTTCTTGATTAGACTAATCAATCATATTTTTGTATTTTTTAATTCTTTTTTTTTATTTTTATAAATCTCAGCATTTCCTGTATGTATTTCCAATTAATTTCCAGTGTTGAACAGGCATAAATTATGAATTTTTTAATGAGGCTTTTATTGTGAAGTTCTTCATATTCAGGAGAACTTTTTATTTCACTTAAATTCAGTTTCATTTACATAAAATGTAAATGATGGTGATGGCAGCTACATTGTAACTGACAGAGGCGAGGCTGCCGGACACTGGCGCCACCAGTAGGCACGA